AAATTTTAAGGATTCAGAAAAAATATTTTGAAAATTTGAAAAAAGTCAGAATTTCGAGATTTTGAGAAAAAGTCAGAACTTTGAGAAAAAGTGAGAATTTTAAAAAAAAAATGAGAAAAAGTGAGAATTTAGAAATTTTGGAGAAAATTTGATAATTTTGGAAATCTTTGAGAAAAAGTCAGATTTTTTTTTCTTTTTTAGAAAAAGTCAGAATTTTGAGAAAAAATAAACAAATTCTCTTTTTTTGTTTTGACTACTTCCATTCTGGAGAGGATCACAGATACATGGATCCTGAGATTGAAGATCAAGACGGGGACCAGGGATTATTAACATTTTTGAGTATTCAGAAAAAGTCAGAATTTTTAGATTTTGAGAAAAAGTCAGATTTTTTGGAGATTTTTGAGAAAAATTAGAATTTTGAGAAAAGTCAGAATTGTTGATCCTGAGATTGAAGCTCAAGTCGTGACGAGTGATATTTTTCTAACATGGACGATCATCAGTCGGGGCTCTGAATCTGTGTCAGACGCCTCTTAACTCTGTGTGCACTGTTACAAATGGTCTGTTAACTGTGTGTTAGTGAAATACTCAATTCTGATTGGTCAATTTCTGACATTTGTTTTTGTGTTTAGTTAGATTTGTTATATTTGTTTGTTGAATCAGCACCCCTTTGTTTCTCATTTAAAGCTGCTTGTATGCCCTTTAAAATTTGAATTTTTCCATTAAACAACTTTACTTTTACCAAGACTAACGTTTTTGTATCGCTTCCCTTTTCATGAATCCTTTCCTCTGCTGAATCTACTTCCCTAAATTCCCCCGCCCCACCTGTGTGACCCCGATGCGGATGTCCTTGCTGACGGAGCTGGTTCCCTTCAGCATGTCTCCGCTGGCTCGTAGGAACCCGGCCCCCCCGCGCAGGAACCCCCCCGACAACAGATCCATCACCTCCTCCAGGGAGCTGCGACCGCGCCCACTCTGCCTGGGAACTGCTGGGAGACAAGATCACATCAGAGGAAGAAAGGAGGCCATCAGTCGGTTAAGCTAACAGTAAATCGTCCACTATCACAGTACATTCGTTATCTCTCCTGATTTATTTCTGCCTTTTGAAACATTATATTCCAGGGTATTTCCGTTCAGTTTTATTAGAAGATATTTGTGATTTTTTTTTATTTCACAGTGATGCAAATAGGACTACGAAGAAAACAGAAATCATAAATCATTTGGCACTTTTCACACTGAAATATCCTTCATATAAAATGTATAATTCTTGTATATATAAATGCATAATATGAGTCTTTACCTGGTTAAATAAAGGTTATATATAATATTAGATGCCATTAAGCAGACACTTTAATCCAAAGTGACTTGAATACACTTTAGTATCAAAGTAACGCCTATGGGAGCAAGTTAAGTTTCAGTATCTTGTCTAAGGAAACCAAGACATGTTGGCTGAAGTAGATTGAAGTACTGACCATCTGATTGGTAGACGCCCATTCACCCCACTGAACCAAAGCCACCCAAACTATCTCTCTTTTGTCTGTGTTTATCTCTGCGTTAGATTAGTTTCCCCCTCAGAGCATCCATGACCCCTCCTCTCGTACCGGTGGGCTGTCGCGGCTCCACAGCAGCAGCCAGCAGCGTCCCCAGCAGTTTGGAGACGGACACCCTGACGCTGTAGTTGGATCCTTCGAAGGCTCTGAAGCAAAGCGTGGCCACGTTCTCCAGCTCGCTCGTCCACAGGAACACCGCCTCCCTCTGCAGCTCCATCAGACACTGAGAGGACGACACACAGAGAGAGTTAGAGAGACACACACTCTGCAGCTCCATCAGACACTGAGAGGACGACACACAGAGTTAGAGAGACACACACTCTGCAGCTCCATCAGACACTGAGAGGACGACACAGAGAGTTAGAGAGACACACACTCTGCAGCTCCATCAGACACTGAGAGGACGACACAGAGAGTTAGAGAGACACACACTCTGTAGCTCCATCAGACTCTGAGAGGACGACACAGAGAGTTAGAGAGACACACACTCTGCAGCTCCATCAGACACTGAGAGGACGACACAGAGAGTTAGAGAGACACACTCTGCAGCTCCATCAGACACTGAGAGGACGACACACAGAGAGTTAGAGAGACACACACTCTGTAGCCCCATCAGACACTGAGAGGACGACACAGAGAGTTAGAGAGACACACACTCTGCAGCTCCATCAGACACTGAGAGGACGACACAGAGAGTTAGAGAGACACACACTCTGCAGCTCCATCAGACTCTGAGAGGACGACACAGAGAGTTAGAGAGACACACACTCTGCAGCTCCATCAGACTCTGAGAGGACGACACAGAGAGTTAGAGAGACACACACTCTGCAGCTCCATCAGACACTGAGAGGACGACACAGAGAGTTAGAGAGACACACTCTGCAGCTCCATCAGACACTGAGAGGACGACACACAGAGAGTTAGAGAGACACACACTCTGTAGCCCCATCAGACACTGAGAGGACGACACAGAGAGTTAGAGAGACACACACTCTGCAGCTCCATCAGACACTGAGAGGACGACACAGAGAGTTAGAGAGACACACACTCTGCAGCTCCATCAGACACTGAGAGGACGACACACAGAGAGAGTTAGAGAGACACACACTCTGCAGCTCCATCAGACACTGAGAGGACGACACAGAGAGTTAGAGAGACACACACTCTGCAGCTCCATCAGACTCTGAGAGGACGACACAGAGAGAGAGTTAGAGAGACACACACTCTGCAGCTCCATCAGACACTGAGAGGACGACACAGAGAGAGTTAGAGACACACACTCTGTAGCTCCATCAGACACTGAGAGGACGACACAGAGAGAGTTAGAGAGACACACACTCTGCAGCTCCATCAGACACTGAGAGGACGACACAGAGAGAGTTAGAGAGACACACACTCTGCAGCTCCATCAGACACTGAGAGGACGACACAGAGAGAGTTAGAGACACACACTCTGCAGCTCCATCAGACTCTGAGAGGACGACACACAGAGAGTTAGAGAGACACACACTCTGCAGCTCCATCAGACACTGAGAGGACGACACAGAGAGAGTTAGAGAGACACACACTCTGCAGCTCCATCAGACACTGAGAGGACGACACAGAGAGAGTTAGAGACACACACTCTGTAGCTCCATCAGACTCTGAGAGGACGACACACAGAGAGTTAGAGAGACACACACTCTGCAGCTCCATCAGACACTGAGAGGACGACACAGAGAGAGTTAGAGAGACACACACTCTGCAGCTCCATCAGACTCTGAGAGGACGACACACAGAGAGAGTTAGAGAGACACACACTCTGTAGCTCCATCAGACACTGAGAGGACGACACACAGAGAGTTAGAGAGACACACACTCTGCAGCTCCATCAGACTCTGAGAGGACGACACACAGAGAGAGTTAGAGAGACACACACTCTGTAGCTCCATCAGACACTGAGAGGACGACACACAGAGAGAGTTAGAGAGACACACACTCTGCAGCTCCATCAGACACTGAGAGGACGATACAGAGAGTTAGAGAGACACACACTCTGCAGCTCCATCAGACTCTGAGAGGACGACACAGAGAGTTAGAGAGACACACACTCTGCAGCTCCATCAGACACTGAGAGGACGACACAGAGAGAGTTAGAGAGACACACACTCTGCAGCTCCATCAGACACTGAGAGGACGACACAGAGAGAGAGTTAGAGACACACACTCTGCAGCTCCATCAGACACTGAGAGGACGACACACAGAGAGAGTTAGAGAGACACACACTCTGCAGCTCCATCAGACACTGAGAGGACGACACACAGAGAGAGTTAGAGAGACACACACTCTGCAGCTCCATCAGACTCTGAGAGGACGACACACAGAGAGAGTTAGAGAGACACACACTCTGCAGCTCCATCAGACACTGAGAGGACGACACAGAGAGTTAGAGAGACACACACTCTGCAGCTCCATCAGACACTGAGAGGACGACACACAGAGAGAGTTAGAGAGACACACACTCTGCAGCTCCATCAGACTCTGAGAGGACGACACACAGAGAGTTAGAGAGACACACACTCTGTAGCTCCATCAGACTCTGAGAGGACGACACAGAGAGTTAGAGAGACACACACTCTGCAGCTCCATCAGACACTGAGAGGACGACACAGAGAGTTAGAGAGACACACACTCTGCAGCTCCATCAGACACTGAGAGGACGACACACAGAGAGTTAGAGAGACACACACTCTGCAGCTCCATCAGACTCTGAGAGGACGACACAGAGAGTTAGAGAGACACACACTCTGCAGCTCCATCAGACACTGAGAGGACGACACACAGAGAGTTAGAGAGACACACACTCTGCAGCTCCATCAGACACTGAGAGGACGACACAGAGAGAGTTAGAGAGACACACACTCTGAACTAATCTGAATTGAGACATTTGGAAAATAAGGAGCAGCAACGATGTTACGATCAGCTGTCAGGAGGCGGTATATATTGTTTGCGGTTACCTTTGCCGCGGCGCAGCGTACGGCCATGGATCGGTCCGTCAGACACGTCCTCGCCGCCTTGTAGACGTCACGATGACACGGCACGGCGCTGACGCCCAGACCCTGAAGGATCTTCTCCAAACTCAACATGATCTCATACCGACCCTGAGACTGAGGGAGGAAGAGGAGGAACGTTACTGCACCACACGTGATTTAATGTAATCAATACACAACTAAACATTTCATACATCGTATCAAACATTCAATATCATTGACACTGAAAACTGATTTGATCAACTCGGGGTGAATTACTCCTACTTTAATGTCTCACATGGTAAATTCAGTATAATGTTCTAATTCCTAGCGGGAGGGATTATGAGCTTTAATCCATTGAAAGTCTTTTAGCATCTGTGCATGAAGATGAGAGCTTGAGGGTGGAAAAGTGAAACACACTCGTACTCTGGTTTTTAATTAAAGTACAAATACACAAAACTAGGGAGGTGCAAATGAAGGCTGTTGAGGTAAACCAAGAGAATCAGAAATGATTATAGGAGTTAGTGTCAGCGACTGTTTGACACAATTCTTTTTTTTTGTTTTTAAAGAGTAAGACAAAATTACAAAGTGACATTTTTTGGTTGTAGAAAAATGTCACCAATGTTCTGAAACTTATTCTGGAAATAGAACAAAGTGAGCAGCAGACGAACCTCTGCGTTCTTCATGGCCTTCAGCAGGTTGCTCAGAGTTTCTTTAAAAGTGCCGATGAGCATCCGACCCAGCTGCTCAAACAGAGCACCGAGACACGCGGTGGCTGCCCTGAAACACACACACACACACACACACACACACACACACACACACACACACACACACACACACACACACACACACACACACACACACACACACACACACACACACACACACACACACACACACACACACACACACACACACACACACACACACACACACACACACACACACACACACACACACACACACACACACACACACACACACACACACACACACACACACACACACCTTGATGTAAAGACATTTTTTATTTGTTTGACATTTCCCCCCCATCTTTTCTGTGTACCATGAACGCATCGTGACTTACAGTCGGGTCGGGAGTCCCGACGGAGAGTCGTCTCTGCTGCGTATGATGTCATTGCACCTGTCCACAAACAGGCAGGCAGAAATGGGGTCTCCCAGGCGGTAAAGCAGGGCCAAGCAGTGGGCCAGCAGCCAGCGGGTCGGCGGGCCGGGAGAGCCAATCAGAACGCCCGAGAGCTGGTCGAGCAGACGCCGCTGGTTGTGTTTGAGGTCGGTCTGAAACGAAGAAACATATTCTTGACGTTTTTTATTCTGTAAACACTTTTAGGTTTTATGACCTTTTTAAATCTTGTGATGCTACTTTAAAGAGTCCTCTCCTGCTGATGTTCAGGTGTATATCAGTATGTAGTGTCTCTACTTTAAAGAGTCCTCTCCTGCTGATGTTCAGGTGTATATCAGTATGTAGTGTCTCTACTTTAAAGAGTCCTCTCCTGCTGATGTTCAGGTGTATATCAGTATGTAGTGTCTCTACTTTAAAGAGTCCTCTCCTGCTGATGTTCAGGTGTATATCAGTATGTAGTGTCTCTACTTTAAAGAGTCCTCTCCTGATGATGTTCAGGTGTATATCAGTATGTAGTGTCTCTACTTTAAAGAGTCCTCTCCTGCTGATGTTCAGGTGTATATCAGTATGTAGTGTCTCTACTTTAAAGAGTCCTCTCCTGCTGATGTTCAGGTGTATATCAGTATGTAGTGTCTCTACTTTAAAGAGTCCTCTCCTGCTGATGTTCAGGTGTATATCAGTATGTAGTGTCTCTACTTTAAAGAGTCCTCTCCTGCTGATGTTCAGGTGTATATCAGTATGTAGTGTCTCTACTTTAAAGAGTCCTCTCCTGCTGATGTTCAGGTGTATATCAGTATGTAGTGTCTCTACTTTAAAGAGTCCTCTCCTGCTGATGTTCAGGTGTATATCAGTATGTAGTGTCTCTACTTTAAAGAGTCCTCTCCTGCTGATGTTCAGGTGTATATCAGTATGTAGTGTCTCTACTTTAAAGAGTCCTCTCCTGCTGATGTTCAGGTGTATATCAGTATGTAGTGTCTCTATTGTGTTGTGATTGGTCAACCAGCTTAGAGATGTCCCGCCCCTTAGCCTATCATGAACAATGTGTTAGAGCGCCAGCCAATAGAAGCTCGAGTGTTACATAGTGATGTCATCATGTTACAGAAGTAAACAAAGCCGAACACAAACCTATAGCACACATTACAGGAAAGGGAAAACCCCTTAAAGCACAATAGGGCCCCTTTAATGAAATGATCAGTCAGGTCTCGCTCAGTTCTCACCCGGTCGGTGGCAGGAAGCAGCTTCTTCAGGTGGTTCAGCCACTCAAAGATGAACTCCGCCCTCTGATGTTCGGCCAGCTGACTGAACGCCTCCTCGTTCAGCAGGAGGCTGTGAGCTCGCTCCATCATGAACCTCCTCCTCTTCCTCCTCCTCCTCTTCCTCCTATCCTCTCAGTGAGGGTGAACTCTTCTGCCCCGCTCTGACATCCTCCTAAATCCTGTTAGACACAAAGAGAAGTGGGAATAAATGGACTGATTCCTTCCAGCAGCTTCTGAAAGGCTGTTGTATTATTTAACATCAGTGGACAAACCAAAACAAAACACATGAATACATCACCTTGGACTAGGGTTTAAAAAAAGCTGTGATTTCTCTCTATTTCCCGACAATTTTCAGACCAAATGTCGAGGGAATAATAGGAAAACTCATCAAAAAGGAAAGTAATCTTTATACGCAGCCATACACTCATTTGCTGCCCATTTTTGCGATTGTATATTATATATTTTAAAGGTGTTGTGATTGCTGTCATTAACTCTTATACTGTGTTTTGGATGAGCCAAAGACACATTTAGATAATGTCTCTCGGGCGTGACAAACTCTTTAAGACCCACAAAATAACTCTGGTGTCTAGAGACGGACTAAATGTGACTTTTAAATCAAAGTTGCACAATTCGGTGGATTTCCCCCTTTAAGTGTTCAGTACGTCTTCCATGTCGTGCAGTGTTCATGTGCGTCTGAAAACCAGGTTTTTTTAACGTGTCGTACTGTGGGAAAAAACTCGACCTTGAAGACAAACACTGAACCAAATAAACCTGTTAAAGAACTGCGAGCGCCGCCGAGAGACTCGAGTGTTTCAGCAGAACTGAGTCTTTGTGTCCCAGTGAGAACTGACAGAGCGGAGCGGAGCCGCACGGGAAGAAGAGACGCTGGGAGAATATCTGAGGCAGAGCAGAGCTCATACATTATTCAACGATACAACTCTGTCTCCTCCATTAACACACACACACACACACACACACACACACACACACACACACACACACACACACACACACACACACACACACACACACACACACACCACACACACACACACACACACACACACACACACACACACACACACACACACACACACACACACACACACACGACGCAGGACGAATCTAAAAATAACCGTCTGTCAAAAGAAGACACTCTGATTCAAACAGAAAGGATACTGCAGAAGAAGAACACATCATCCACACCTACAAGTATCCCACTGCTGTGTGTGTGTGTGTGTGTGTGTGTGTGTGTGTGTGTGTGTGTGTGTGTGTGTGTGTGTGTGTATCCCAACATAGACAGTAGGGCTGGGATGGGAAAAGCAATCACATATCAACTGGAATTGCTCAAAAAATCCAATCGAATTCAGTGAAATCCACCTTTTTTTGTGTCATAACCTGATTAGTCTGTATTTGAATGCATGTATGTGATCATAGTCTGTGAATAGCTGGAGTTTATTCTCTCTACAATATCACTAACTAACCGATCAATTACTTTTCGTTTGCCATTTATGTACTTTACACAGGAGTATACACCAACCGGCTCTACCTATTTGATTATTGAATTACCAGAAAACATGCTTTTGCCTTATAATTATTGAGAAATGAAATGACGTGTATCAAGATAGAAGATGTTCCACTTCTGCCCAGTGTCCTACTGACAAGAATCCAAAATATGCAGTTTTATATTATATAAAAACAGAGACATAAGTATAAATGTAATGTTGAATTAAGTTCCTGTCACCATCCTTATAAGAGTCAGTTACATCTACACCAGAGCCACAGCCTCACCCATCTCATGTTAACATACTAATGATCCCTGAGTCTGGGAACAACATGGAAAAGGTGTTGGATAACATTACTCAACTCGGTACCACTTTGCAATAAGACTCCCTTTTGGCAGTTATAAATGTTAGTAACTCATAAACATTGCCAGACTCCGCCCCTCACTCTCTGACTCAGTGGCAGAAACACTCGTACACGCCTTCATCACATCCCGTCTGGACTACTGCAATGGAGTCCAGTCCGGGGTTCCCAGCAAAACCCTGGCCAGGCTCCAATACGTCCAGAACTCTGCCGCCAGGCTTCTCACCCGCACCAAGCCATGGCAACACATCACCCCCACCCTCATCCACCTCCACTGGCTGCCGGTCAAGTCCCAGATTCAGTACAAAACACTCCTCCTCCTCACGTACAAGTCCCTCCATACCCTCGCCCCCCAGTACTTATCGGACCTCCTCCATCCCTACACTCCTTCTCGGAGTCTGCGGTCCTCAGACACGGGCCTGCTCTCCATCCCCCGCTCTCGCCTCCAAACTGTGGGTGACAGGGCGTTCAGTGTTGCGGCCCCCACCCTCTGGAATGCCCTTCCTGACGAGATCCGTAATGCTGCCTCCCTGGACATCTTCAAATCATCATTAAAAACACACCTGTTCACCCTGGCCTTCGGACCCTAGCCCTTTGCTGGTCCCCCGGCTCCCCCGGCTTCCTTTATTTCTTGTTTGCCCTTTGATTGTCTGTTTGCTTTGTTTGTCCACCATGTACAGCGACCTTGGGTCCCTTGAAAGGCGCTATATAAATATCATTTATTATTATTATTATTATAAATAAATGGTCATAGAGAGATGCCAAGAAACATCAAGATGGAAGGGGGGAGAATCAACTCAGTGAACAACAGATACCAAGGATGCTGGCTGATGAAGGAGACGAAGTAAGCTAGGTAGCCAATATAAGGCTTAGTCATCTTGCCAAATAGTGAGCCTGTGTTGATGTATGAAAACTATGTTAGAACTGGTTTATAAATGGTTCTTAATGATTAATAAAGTGTTAACCAACCCTTTATGAATCCTTTATAAGAGTAGTCTTATTGTAAAGCTGGTACCCTCAACTCTAACTCAAAGGGTTTATTGTCAAATGCACAGCAGCTAAAGTCTAGTCATGAACATCTGAAGTCCTAGTCTCCTTCAACAATGCTATATATATATATATATATATATATATAGGACATAAAACAACATTAGTGCAAGAAGAAACATAAATAAAAGGGTGCAAAGGAATGTTGAAAGTGACAAAGTAATGCAGAAGGAGACTACATGCATGTGAAATAAATACTGTACAAGAATAAAATACTGATTCTTGTAGTTATAACAGTAGATTATGAGTTAGGAAACTAGTGTTAGAGAAACATAGCTTTTTGTCTGCTATGCAATTATTAGCATGTCATTTTGTAGCTTTGTTTTATATCACATTAAATACCAGGAATAATAGATATAGTACTTTATTGATCCCAAATTGGGAAATTGTTTAATACAAACAGTCCACTCTTTTACAGACATATAAAAGACCTATAACGCATCACTTATAAGTTATGTGTGTTCTTAAGTATACCAACAGTTGATATAAAACCACAAACTGTCCCTTGTCATCTCACAAACAACAAAAACAGCTTCTTCATGAATGTTTTTTAATACACAAACAGCATCTAACAAGCTTCGCTGCTAGCATTGGGTGGCTAACCGGGTTAGCTAACGAGCAAAAGTTTAGAAACAACGCGAAATTATAATGAGAATGTTTACCTGTTAGTGTCCGTTAAAAGCCCTTTAATCCAAACAGAAGAGTGTCGGTTGAAAAACAAACAAGCAGGTAGTTTATTTCTGTTTATTTTGATACTCTTAATGTCACCGAGCAGCTCAACCGACCCGCTGCTGACTGGACCAACTGTCAAGCTAGCGGGACTCACAACATACTACATCCGGTTACTTAATTTTTTCAGGCTTCTCTGTACTTTTTCCCCTAAAATGAATTTTAATCAATACTTTTAGATATAAATTACTATGGGTCTCTGAAACAATCAGACTTTTACCACACTGTTATCAGACATTTAGCAGACTGTTATCAGACTTTTAGCACTCTTTTTCCCGCTGAAACCACTTTAAATCATCAGTGTCACTATTGTGGGGATGTAGGAATGTACCTGTGCCTGGTGTGGTGCCTCCCTGCACTTTAAATCAATTTATTTGCCTTTTTTTTTTAATTGTGTTTTCTACTGTTAATGCACTGTGTTCATGTTGGGTGATGCGGCCCCTGGAGGCCTCCTGTGGGGAAACATGGAACTGCACTTAAATACACACCGTTACCTTTCTTTCAAAATAAAAAACACTTGTTCAGCATTGAATTATTTGTGGCATACCAGAGTAGATTACACATTTTGTTAGCATATTATTTTTAATACTCAAACACGTAAAAGGGACAAACAAGAAACAAAGAAACAGTTTAGGCCTTGTTAAAGCACCGTAAATGAGCACAACATATATATATTTAGGGAATATCAGTCAATGATGAATTAGATATTTAGCAAATGTGTTATTCCTTAGTCATGCGTTGAAATGGGGCTCAATCTTAAAACAATAACACATAAGAATTAAGTGCAGTTTACCCCAAATAAATCAAGTAGTAGTCTAGCTTGAATCGAGGTCAAATTCAGATGAATTCACACTGTGGTACAGTCTCAATATCACTCTTACTAAATCAATTATTCGATTATTTTCCTAGCTCCTCCGTCACTTTATTCTTAAAACACATTTTCATTTCAGTTGTTTAGTGTAGTATTGTGTTGCCTCGCGAAATGTTAGCTTTTATTGTTTAGGATTTTTACTTCCGGTCTACTGCTTTCTCGACATCTCGCTGGTAACACCAAGTCGATAACAGAATCATCGAGCGCCTTCACGGCTCACAACAAACAGAAGGGCGAAATGTGCCCTGCATTGAGTCTCCCAGGCGAAACACGCATACCATGACCCACCCTCATCAAACCAGTGAAGTAGCTTCTGGACACCGTGCAGTCCCTACACTGAAAGCAGACAAGGTTCCCCCACAGAGGGAGAGGAGAGGAACCTGTAACACAAACACTTAGTCAATTATATTGCCCACAATCTGCACACAAGAAAACTATTGACAGAAAATAAAACTAAAAAAGCACTTCAACACTCCGCAAAACACGTAGGCCTACAAGTTGCTTAAAAACGATTACAACTTGGAGTAAAACACCATATTCACAAACACACTGACACACTGCCTGAGGAAGGTTATGTGTATTTGTTTTGATATTCACTTTTTTCGGACCACTTATTTATTTAGGTGACGATCCGACCTCCATGCTGCTACTCTGGTTCAAACTGCTTCCACCAAACAATGTGATTTGTCTCGACCTCCCCAAAAGAACCAAAATCTGACTCGGTCCTCATTTCCTGCGATCTTCTTCATGCAGTCAGTCAACATGAATATTAATACGGGGCGTTTCTTTGACTATTTATAGGCAAATATGGGCGTTACGTGAAGCCCGCAAAAGCTGCGCCACATTTCGAGTTGATTGTGATTTATAAAGGGAAACCGGCGTAGGACGTGCGTGCGCAGTGTTTTATAAAACGGAATATTCTTATGCGTAGGCCTATGTATTTGCTTTGTCCTACGTACCACCTTCCCACGTGAATCCTACGCAAAGCTTTATAAATGAGGCCCCAGGTCTCGTGCTTTGAATGTCTGAAGAGTTTCCCTCCATGATGGGAAAAGGTATCTTGCCCTCGCCCTAATCAAATCCAAACTGAACTGAGACACTTCCATATGTTCATTGAAAAGACCATAACACAACCTTAAACCCGCGAGTCCTACCTTGCGGGAGATAACGGTGCGCGTGCAGCCAGCCAAGAGAAAGGTTTTCTCAAACTGCCGGCAAAACTTTAATAACTTACATTCTACCGATCACCGGTCATGTGACACGTCACGTGACAATGACGTCACATCCCCACACATATATAAAGAAGCAGCCTGTCACTTGAAGCTTCACAATCTCCATCCTCCTCCTATCCAACGGTTCAGTGCAACTTTAACAGACAGAGACGGTGTCATCATCATCATCATCATCATCATCATCATGCTGGTTTTCCTCTTCCTGTTGGGCCTGGCTCTGGGTGCTGTGTCTTCTTCAGATGACCCTCCAACGGGGCTCCTCCAGCAAGAGACCTGTCCCTCCTTCTGGTTCTCCTTCAACGGCCGCTGCTACCAGTACTACAACACAAAGACGACCTGGGCTGATGCAGAGCTCTACTGTGTGTCCCAGGGAGGCAACCTGGTGTCTATCCACAGCAGAGAGGAAGAGCGTTTTGTCAGATTCCTGATCAAAGGCTCTGACCCTGCTGAGGGATATACATGGATCGGACTCAGTGACGTCCACAAAGAAGGAAGATGGATGTGGTCTGATGGGTGTGCAGTCAAGTATTTCTTTTGGCATAGTGGACAACCAAACGACAGGGCACGAGGAGGTGAAGACTGTGTACTCAACAACTGGAGGGGGAAGTGGAATGATGGGCATTGTTCAAATACTTTCCCCTCAGTTTGTGCATCTCGCACAACTTGTCCTTAGCAGCTGAGATGTTACGTGTTCACCTGTTTTGTTAACATGATCACAATAAAGACACAGATGTACACTTGTATATGTGTGTGAACAGAAGTCCTTTTGTCCAACCTTTATTTTCATGAATGTTACATATCCACACTGGTCGCTCCAGGGGTTAATCAAAGGAATTATTTCTACACCTTTTTTAAATATCAATACATTTAGTAAATAATATTGATGCATTATTATTACATTTTAATCCACAGATTGTTGGCGTTGCTTATTCTTCCTGGTATTCTACTTGTTTGAACCACACACAGTTGTATATCATTCAATGATCACATGGATGTGGTCAGGTATTTACGGCACCTGGTGTGTGGATGACCAACGGGCTGAACTTGCTCTTTTCTGTTGACCCTATAGTCCTGCTTTGGTTATTGTTTGTGTTTTGTTCAATAAACTTTAGCACAGATTTGATTTAGGAATGCTTCAAAGTGATGAGCGTACACAGGAAATATTGGTGAGTATTTTTTCCAGAGTAATCACTATTTCGCTCTGAAATAGTGATATTTAATCATTTGAGTGTATTTATTACTCATAGCTTCTAGAGTGCGATCAAAAATGCAGAGTCAATTCTATTGGAGTTAAACCATGACCACGCTGTAACGGAGGTGATCTCTGGGGCCATAGATCTCGGTCTCCGTTACGGATTATATAGCTTCATTATTGGCGAAGTATATTCATTTGTTCCACGCTAAAACATTGCACAGGAAGCATGTGATTATGTCATTTATGCATATATTAGTCACGATCTGTCAATGTTTTAGTTTGTCTGTCTGTCTCTGTTAGTTTGAAAAGTGTTCCCCCTCCCGTCTTGTCTGTTGCTGGTGATTGTGTTCACCTGGTGCCCTGTGTGTCTCCTCCCTCCTCACCTGTGTCTTGTTGGTTTGATTAGTCCTGTGTGTATTTAGGTTCTGTTTTCCTGTTAGTGTGTGTGTGAGAGCCTTGGTGCTGGTGACTGTGTTCACGTGAGACAGTCATATTGAGGCTGTGTATCCTGTACCACAAAGAGGAATACATGCCCACACCGGGTTGTATTTGAACTCTCTGCCTCCTTGCTTGGTCGGGCAGCTCAATGGTTAGCTTCACACACGCTCATGTTCCTTAAGCACTTTGGTTTATTGACCTTTTTTATTGTAAAGATCATTATGGTTCATTTATTCTATTCTGAGTAAAATGGCAGTAGAGTTGTTTTTAATATCCACTACATAGAGTAAATAACCATTAAGCAGAGTCAAATCTAAGCACATAATAGAGTAAAATGAACTCTAAAAATACAACTCTGAACAAAGAGTACATTTTACTCTATATAGGTTGGGACCAAATGATATATTTTTAGAGTAAAATGTTCTTCAATTTGAGTCCATTTTACTCAGAGAAATGTACTGCGTAGTCTTGGCCTCTTGGCGACATGATTTATTGGGAAAAGTACCATCACTAATCTTCTGGTTATGGGAACAAGGTGTTTAATGGACAGGGACACTACTTATCATGTTTATCCAACACAACGTGGTTTATCACATCTGCGTCCGACATTGAAGATAAGTCGATTATGACTTCTGGTTCTGATGCTTGACTTTGTTTGACATCCTGTGAAGGGTTCCTAATGCCCTCTGAGGGTGTTACTGGTGAAGTATCCGTAAAGCTGTTCGCCTCTTGAACATTTATCTTGGTGCAAAAGTATCATTCATACAGATCCTCAACTGTACAATCTGGGTCAATCTCGTTTTGTGCAAAGTCACGGATCCTGTGGACATGGTCTGTCAGTTTTGGAGACTTGCAGAGACTATTTGGGAAAAAAGGGACTCTTTTCCGAGTGTTGCCTGTCCACGCAGACATGCCGGGTCCCACCGCCTTTTACAGTTCGCACCTGTTTGAAAGCATTGTCGTCTTCACTGAAATTCATCCACCCAATTTCTAATCTCTTTGCCTGTCTCTTTGCATTCATCCCAATTCAGCTGTCTTTGAACTGTCTTGCTGTCTGGAGCACAACACGTTGCCCTTCTTCTTTCCAGTTGACCTCGTCTAGATGCTACTGAATCTCCACAATGACTGTTGCGGCAGAAGGCTCCAGCTGCCAATCTGTCTCCGTCATGTGGGATGTACTTTGCCAGATCTTCAGACATCAGTGCAATTACTGACGAATCAATCTGCAAATGTAAACAAAAGTAACATGTTAACAGGATCATATTTAAATTGTCATGGGTCACAAACTACGTAAATTATTTTGCAAATTTACATATTTATACCTAATTGAGAAACCAACATTTTTGCTTTCTATTTCAAGAAAGTTACAGGCCAAATGAATACATAGAACACATATGTATGCACTGTTTCTGTATATATATATATATATATGTATGTATATGTGTACATTTGAGTGATGCTTCCTCTCGTATGATTTGAAGTTGGTTGCAGCTTGGTCTAAAATTGTTTGGGCCCCTGTCAGTCACGGGCCCTTAGAATCGTCCTAACTTTTCACCCCCCCTTACATAGCAAGATCAACATGGACAGCCACCTCAGTTTCCTCATTACAGAGCTCAATAATTATTGTGTGACAATTCGTGGGAAGATAATAACTCATTCGTGGCCACGCACTATTCATTTGTCGCCACGCATTCATATTTTTCTCACCAATGTCTCCGTAAAGATGAGAGTAACACCTACGTCACTTCTGGGCGAAAATTACGGCCCCGCCCACTTTTGGGGGAAAACAAAGCTGTCATCTGAACGGCGGTCAATACAAATTCTGAGGTTTTTGCCAATCCGATCAGAAATGTAAGAAAACCGTGGATTTTCTGATCTTCAAAGAGCCGGATTACGATGGGCAGACAGGCAAACAGTTACATGACATCATTTGAAATCGACGATCGGGCTCGATATATGGTTAAATTAAAATCAGTAGGCGAGGCCTTAATTTCTCCAGCTGTTACTCTCATGAGCGAGGCGGAACATAATTGTTGTATCATGCCAACAAGCTGCTGTGTCGTTTATTGCTCCTCAAACATTAAAACAAATCCAGAGTTCAGTGTTTCTGAACTTCCTCTAAGAACAAAGGACAAAGAAGAGCTCTGTGGCTTCAGGCTCGATCGCCGTTCAAATGACAGCGTTGTTTCCCCCAAAAGTGGGCGGGGCCGTAAAGTGACGTAGATGTTACTCTCATCTATGGACATCGATCGCCAACTGCTATATTTAACCATATATCGAGCCCGACCGTCGATTTCAAATGATCTAATGTAATTGTTTGCCTGTCTGCTCATCGTAATCCGGCTCTTTGAAGATCAGAAAATCCACGGTTTTCTTACATTTCTGATTTTCTTTTAATGTTGAAGTTAAATGCATCAATCTGGAGCACTTTGAGCACAAAATGTATTTCTGGATACAGCTCTCAACACTCAGATGAAAAGGGAGCTGTATACTTTTCAATAATCCAAACATCTTTAGAATATGATCACAACCAATAACAAATCATTCAAACTTGTTTATTCTGATTTTATGTTACCTAATTAGCATTCTTTCTTTTTGGGCTTATCGCGAGCTGTCGACGTGTTGGAGACCCCTGCTCTAATGGGTCCGACTAGAATGACAAATAGCGTTAGTTCCGCCTATTCCGTCAGCCAAGACATCATTTAATCATAAACTTTTTTTTTTTTTCATTTTCAGGGGGGCCACAGGGGGGTCCAAAGTCAGTGTTAGGGGGGCACTGGACTCCAAGGGTATGGGATATATAAATATACATGTTCATATAAAACCCTAAGCCTTCATATTAAATAGAGTGTGTCCTACTTGTCAAGTGTAGTAATAAGGACCCATAAGAGCAGATGCTATGGAAGCTATTTGAACAAATCCAAGAGTTTTTAATACAAAAACTTCAGATTTCTTCACAACAATATTAATATAAAATAAATCCTATCTTCTTCCAGTGTAAAATCCTGGATTCATTTGAAGTTATAAGCTCACATGATATGGAAGCTATTGAAAATGTTTTTATTAAATGCAACATTTTCTTAACAATAATAATACAATTTAGACACTAAAATATTCAAAAACCCAAAAAAGATGTCCTTCTTGTCCGGTGCAGTGCTTATTGCTGCATTGATTGGGGTCACATGGCATGGAAGTTATTTATCTCTGCAGCTCCATAGTACTTCCTTTAAAATCATAATCTAACACATATTTAGGCGACTGTGGCTGCGAGGGAGTGCGATCGTCTTTCATCCAGAAGGTTGTGGGTTCGACATGTTGATGTGTCCTTGGGCAAGATACCGAACCCTGAGTTTCTCCCGATAGCCTGGCCAACGGTGTGTGAATGTGTATGAATGGAGTAAGGTGCACTGCTCTGTATGAATGGGTGAATGACATGTTGTATGTAAAGCGCATTGAGGGGTCGTAAAGACTGGATAAAGCGCTATATAAGTACAGTCCATTTATCAAATATTATCTTTCCTGCGATATGATTTATGCACTTGTCCATATTGTGATTTTGATAAAGGTTTGATTAATGGTGCAGATGAAGTGTCCTTTAGCCTGCAGCTAACCTCATCTCTCTGTGTGTGTTTGCAGCTCTGCGTGACGACCTGTACTTTGACGCTGGCTGCCTGCTCGCTCTCTCTCTGGTTCACGGCTCTCCAGTCAGTTTCTTCTCCCGCGCTCTGTTCCAGTGTCTGTTCAACTACCCGCCCAACCAACCACTGTCCGTCAAACACATGACGCCCTACACACACGTCACCTGCCAGGTCAGCAGGGTAAGTATGACAGTTTTAGGAGAGTCCTAAAACCCGAAAATTAGTCAGCATTTACCACTTCCTGTTCCCTTTCCCTCGTCTTGAAATCTTTGGTTGTTTGCCTGAAAAAAGGTCTGTGGTTAACACAAGCTGAAGAGAGTTTAATGTTCTGTTCTACGACATAAAACACGGGTAATACCCCACTGGTGGATTTAAAAACGTTGGTTGCTAACAATTGTCTAAATGAGACGACAACATTAGCCGCCTTTAGCTTAGCGGTGGTGACGTGAAGTCATGTGACCGTGCTGTAGTTCCTTTATAGCCCAACATTAGCCACCTTTAGCTTAGCGGTGGTGACGTGAAGTCATGTGACCGTGCTGTAGTTTCTTTATAGCCCAACATTAGCCGCCTTTAGCTTAGCGGTGGTGACGTGAAGTCATGTGACCGTGCTGTAGTTCCTTTATAGCCAAACATTAGCCACCTTTAGCTTAGCGGTGGTGACGTGAAGTCATGTGACCGTGCTGTAGTTCCTTTATAGCCCAACATTAGCATCCTTTAGCTTAGCGGTGGTGACGTGAAGTCATGTGACCGTGCTGTAGTTCCTTTATAGCCCAACATTAGCCACCTTTAGCTTAGCGGTGGTGACGTGAAGTCATGTGACCGTGCTGTAGTTCCTTTATAGCCCAACATTAGCCACCTTTAGCTTAGCGGTGGTGACGTGAAGTCATGTGACCGTGTTGTAGTTCCTATATAGCCCAACATTAGCCACCTTTAGCTTAGCGGTGGTAACGTGAAGTCATGTGACCGTGCTGTAGTTCCTTTATAGCCCAACATTAGCCGCCTTTAGCTTAGCGGTGGTGACGTGAAGTCATGTGACCGTGCTGTAGTTCCTTTATAGCCCAACGTTAGCCACCTTAGCTTAGCGGTGGTGACGTGAAGTCATGTGACCGTGCTGTAGTTCCTTTATAGCCCAACGTTAGCCACCTTTAGCTTAGCGGTGGTGACGTGAAGTCATGTGACCGTGCTGTAGTTCCTTTATAGCCCAACGTTAGCCACCTTTAGCTTAGCGGTGGTGACGTGAAGTCATGTGACCGTGCTGTAGTTCCTTTATAGCCCAACATTAGCCACCTTTAGCTTAGCGGTGGTGACGTGAAGTCATGTGACCGTGCTGTAGTTCCTTTATAGCCCAACGTTAGCCACCTTTAGCTTAGCGGTGGTGACGTGAAGTCATGTGACCGTGCTGTAGTTCCTTTATAGCCCAACATTAGCCACCTTTAGCTTAGCGGTGGTGACGTGAAGTCATGTGACCGTGCTGTAGTTCCTTTATAGCCCAACATTAGCCTCCTTTAGCTTAGCGGTGGTGACGTGAAGTCATGTGACCGTGCTGTAGTTCCTATATAGCCCAACATTAGCCACCTTTAGCTTAGCGGTGGTGACGTGAAGTCATGTGACCGTGCTGTAGTTCCTTTATAGCCCAACATTAGCCACCTTTGATTGATTGATTGATTGAAAAGTTTATTAACAGCTTGTATATTGGGTACAGTACAGTACAGCTCAAAACATACAATTGTTAAGGGGATGCAGACCAGAGAAAGACTTTCGTCTTGTTTACATCAGGGTCCCCCATTTCCAATTCATCATATCATTTAAGACATATAAGACATATTTGACATACAGATGGCTTATTTACAATTTACATACAGGTGGTTTTTTACATACAGATGGCTTATTTACAATTTTCATTTTAGATTTCGTTCTAATACATCCTAACCGGACATTTAAGACATACCAAGTCTACAGATATACAGTTAGTAACAGAGTCTAAAATGTGAGTATATACATAGATGGGGGGGGGAAGCTGTCCATTGTACGACAGGTTGAGATTTGTACCATTACCGGGGCCAGTTTTGCAATGCTTTCCCCCGAAGGTGCTCTTTAAGAGAGGTTTTGAAGGTAAGTATAGTTTTACTTTCCTTTACAGTTGTGGGAAGAGCGTTCCACCTTGATGTGGCATAATTGCGAAACGTGTATTCCCCTTTTTTTGTGCCAAATCTGGGTTTTACATGATTTGTGGAGCTCCCTCTGGTGTTATGATCATGGTATTCCTTGACCTTTGGGAAGAATTTTGACATGTACATGGGTACCATAGAGGTGTAGTGGATCTTGTAGACCAGGCCCATTGCAAGTAGCTGTACTCTGTCGTCTACTCTAAGCCATCCTAGGTTGTCAAAGTGGGCAGAGGTGAGGTGGGTTCTAGATGAAAGGTCAAGCAGTAGTCTGACCAGTTTATTTTGCGATGTTTGAAGTTTTATTTTTAGCGCCTTGGAGGTGCTATGGTACCATGACGTGCAAGCATAGTCATAGTACCCTTGAATGAGTGCTCCTGCCAGAGTTTTCAGGGTGTTTTTGTTTACCAGAGAGGAGATCCGGTATAGGAATCTAGTTCTTTGATTGACTTTTTTATTACATTGGATGCCATTTTGTCACAGGAGAGGTTTGCCTCAAGAATAGATCCTAGGTATGTAATTTCCTTCTTACTTGTGACAATAATGTCACCCACTGCAACTGAGAAGTCGTCGGATTTGCTGAGATTATGTTTCGAACCGAAGAGAATGGACTCTGTTTTACCCAGGTGTAATGATAATTTATTATCGGCGAGCCAGGTGCAGATTCTGCCGAGCTCGGAGCTGAGGGTTTTTTCAACCTGCAATCTGCTCCTGTCAGAGACCAGCAGGGCTGAGTCGTCCGCGAACAGGAACAAGTTGCAGTCACATGCTGATGACATGTCATTTGCATAAATTAGGAACAGTAACGGACCTAATATGCTTCCTTGTGGAACACCACAGCTCACTGGGAGGGGGGGGGGACAGAGTACCGTTTACCTCCACCATCTGTTCTCTCCCCTCCAGGTAGGATTGCATCCAGCTCACCGATAGTTTATCAAAACCAATTGCTTTTAGCTTGTCAATCAGAATGGGGTGATTGACAGTGTCGAAAGCCTTTTGTAGGTCCAGCATCACCATGCCGCAGTATTTACCCTCGTCCACCTCTTGTTTGATGTGGTCGTTCAAATAAAGAAGGCATGTGTCAGTGGAGTGGGATGTTCTAAAGCCAGATTGAAATTCATAGATTAGTTTCTTTTCTGCGAGGTACTTTTCGACCTGTTCATATACTATTTTTTCCATGACTTTCGAGATGGAGGTAAGTATAGAAACAGGGCGGTAGTTGCCTGGGTCCAATTTGCTGCCCTTTTTGTGCAGGGGGGTTACTCTTGCAATTTTGAAGTCTTTGGGTACTTTTCCCTGTTTTATGGAGAGGTTAATTATGTGAGCTATGACTGGTGAGATGGCGGTTGCTGTGTCTCTGAGGAATTTGGAGGGGATATTGTCGTGGCCAGTGGCCTTGTTAGGTTGAGGGCGCTCAGTTTAATGAGTACCTCTGCTGTTGTTACCCTTGCTAGACTGAAATCATCTTTGCGTACCCCTAGGTTTTTGTAGTAGGTCATGATGTGATCTACTCCAAAAAGCCCTGAGTGGGAGGGTAATTTATTTACAAGAGTTGTGGCTATGTTTGTGAAAAAAATGTTCAAGTACTTGGCCACATCCAGTTTGTCTGTGATGAGCCTGTTATCTGTCTTTATGTTTACGTTTGAAAATCTCGTTTTGAGTTTTTTACTGCAGCCAAGCTGGTTATTGAGTAATTTCCAAAGTTCACGGGGTTTATTTTTGTTTTCCTCAGTTTTGTCATTGATGAAATTCTTTTTGGCAGTTTTGATCATGGAGCTTACGTCATTTCTTAGTCTGTTTCTTTCAATTTTTAGTTCAGTCACGTGGGCCTGGAGTTCACTGCTCGTGCTTTTGGAAAGCATTGACTGACTTTTATGAAACTCAGAGCATTTTTTGTCTCTGGTTTTCATGGCGGTCAGTATGCCGGAGTGCATCCACGGCTCAGCGCGATTTTTTACCCTGGTTGTTCTTAGGGGGGCCAAATCATTGAGTATTGCAGAGAATTTGTTTTTGAAACCAAGCCATGTTTCTTCAACTTGTGTACCACTGAGCTCATCTGACCAGTCCAGGCTCTCCAGTTCTAGGTTAAAGGCCTCGCTAGAGTAGTTTTTGAGGTCTCTAGATATGACTGTTTTGTGACAGCCGGCCTTTGTTTTAGCTTTTTGCGGGTACAGAATATCATATAATGATCACTTAAACCGCATGCTATAACCCCTTTACTGGAGATCCTGGACCTGTCAGAGGTCAGAATGAGATCAATGGTAGTTTGTGTTGTTTCACATACCCGGGTGGGTTGGGTGATTAGCTGGCTGAAGCCGTGCAGATCACAAATCCTACTGAAGGACTTGAAGACGGACGTGTCTTTACGTTGCATATCCGTGTTCCAGTCTCCAATAATAATTGTCTCTACATCCCCCACATCAGCCAAACACCCATCTAATGTATCATAAAAGTCACTCTGTTCCGGTGGTCTATAGATTGTCCCGACTATTACAGATTTAGCATTGTCAAAAAGAATTTCAACCCACACAGATTCAATATTTTCATGATGCAGGTCAGTACGGTTTTTGAAATTGGTGTCTTTATGTATGTACATGCAGACACCACCTCCATTCACGTTCCTGTCCCTTCTCACTACAAGATAATCTTCAATTTCAATCTCTGAATCTGTAATGGAATTGTCCAATTTGGTCTCAGAAAAGCATAATATGCTTGCCTTACCGTTCATGAACAGTTGCCTGAGTTCAGCCAGTTTGTGTCTCAGGCTGTTAGTGTTCAGATGAAAAATATGTAGTCCATTTTTGTTGTTTAAATGCATAATGTCGTCAGCTTGAAGATATTTGTCTTTGTCCGTTACAGCAAACGGCTTGCGGCCTGCCGTGGTGCTTGGAGCGGTGGGGTGGTGGGGGGAGGGAGGCTCCGTTGTAGCTTTAGCCGTCGATATGCTAGCAGGGTGGCTAACAACATGGTGGATATTTGTTCCCTCGGATCTCGGTTCTCTTCCTCTTCCTTTAGCTTAGCGGTGGTGACGTGAAGTCATGTGACCGTGCTGTAGTTCCTTTATAGCCCAACATTAGCCTCCTTTAGCTTAGCGGTGGTGACGTGAAGTCATGTGACCGTGCTGTAGTTCCTTTATAGCCCAACATTAGCCACCTTTAGCTTAGCGGTGGTGACGTGAAGTCATGTGACCGTGCTGTAGTTCCTTTATAGCCCAACGTTAGCCACCTTTAGCTTAGCGGTGGTGACGTGAAGTCATGTGACCGTGCTGTAGTTCCTTTAGAGCCCAACATTAGCCACCTTTAGCTTAGCGGTGGTGACGTGAAGTCATGTGACCGTGCTGTAGTTCCTTTATAGCCCAACATTAGCCTCCTTTAGCTTAGCGGTGGTGACGTGAAGTCATGTGACCGTGCTGTAGTTCCTATATAGCCCAACATTAGCCACCTTTAGCTTAGCGGTGGTGACGTGAAGTCATGTGACCGTGCTGTAGTTCCTTTATAGCCCAACATTAGCCACCTTTAGCTTAGCGGTGGTGACGTGAAGTCATGTGACCGTGCTGTAGTTCCTTTATAGCCCAACATTAGCCTCCTTTAGCTTAGCGGTGGTGACGTGAAGTCATGTGACCGTGCTGTAGTTCCTTTATAGCCCAACATTAGCCTCCTTTAGCTAGCGGTGGTGACGTGAAGTCATGTGACCGTGCTGTAGTTCCTTTATAGCCCAACATTAGCCACCTTTAGCTTAGCGGAGGTGACGTGAAGTCATGTGACCGTGCTGTAGTTCCTTTATTCCTTTCATCAGTGCACCACTCTATCATCAACGTATTGTTTTATTTCAGATCGCAGAAGCAGAGACTTTAGACGATGTGAAAGACGTCTTGGAGGAGAGCTGGGAGTTCATGGAGTTAGCCGGCTGTAACCGACCAATCAGCAGGCTGCAGGAGAGAGAGGCTCTGGTGGAGGACCTGGTCAGCTTCATGATGATCACCAGGTTGCAGCTTCCCCTGCAGAGGTACAGACCTCACTGCTCATCCATGCTTTTAGTGCAAATTAAAAAACCTCTGTCCAAAATGTCTACACATAAAATGTCACTTATGGATGTACTTGCATGTGCCACATATCAGTGACTTCATGGTTGGTATTAATGAAACAGTTAATGTGAGTTAATGGGATATTAACTGATATTAAAGGGGACATATATGTAAATATGATAAGCAAGCTGTATCAATCTATTCCCAGTCTTTTTGAGAAAAGATCATCTGTGTTCAGCAAACCGACACACAGATGAACAGTATAGGAGTCTTTTCAACAAAAATTCATGTAAGAATTTGAAGTAGAAACCATAAGTCAGCACCTGAGATGTTATAGTAGGTCCCATTTAAATAAGCTTATGACTTGTTCTGTTATTTCTCTACATGGTTCTCTAATGAACATCTCAGTGATTCCGTGTATCCCAAGGTTAATAAGTAATCACTTGTGGTGTTTTTGTCCTGCAGGTTTCGGGAGGGTCTGCAGACTTTGGGTGTCTTTGATCAGGTGATTTTAAAGTTTCTCCCCCCCTTGTGTGAACACTGTTATATCAGACACCTCAACATGAGACAGTATGTTAGGAAAATATCACTCGTCCCCGTCTTGAGCTTCAACCTCAGGATCCATGTATCTGTGATCCTCTCCAGAATGGAAGTAGTCATCACATACAGAGCATCAACTAGTTCCTGAACAGTGTCCTTCACATGCTGATATCCAAGAGAGGGAGTTACACAGTCACAATATGCAACTAGTTAATCATCCTGTCATGTACAAAATACAGACCTTTTCTCAAAATTCTGACTTTTACTCAAAATTCTGACTTTTTATAAAAATCTCAAAATTCTGACTTTTTTCTCAAAATCTCAAAATTCTGATTTTTTTCCTCAAAATTCTGACTTTTTATAAAAATCTCAAAATTCTGACTTTTTTCTCAAAATCCTGACTTTTTCCTCAAATTCGCAAAATTCTGTATTTTTTCTCAAAATTCTGTCTTTTCTCAAAATCTCAAAAAGATCTGATCTCTCTCTTTCGTCCGGTCACACTTCAATCGCGTTTATGTCCATATGGATCAGATCCAGCTCTCCTGATCGGCCTTTATAGAGAGCACCGATCAAACTATTAAGAGTGAATATCGGCCGATAATGACCGGCGGCCGATCAATCGGAACATCCCTAATTATTACCGGACATTTTGACCGGCAGGTTTTGAATTTACCGGTTTTTAATAAATGTTACCAGCTAAAAAACGGTAATTACCGGCTAACGGAAACCCTGGTCAGAAATGATCATGCTTGTCATACGTCTATCTCCATAGAGCCTCAAACAGTCCTGATGCTCTTCTAGGTAATCACACATCCTGTCATGTTCACAGCTGCAGTTGGGATACCTTTGTTAGCATGCTACTCTCATGTTGGAAGAGGACACTCAGTATTTTCCCAGCAGTATTCCAGTATAACTACTCACAGCGAACGCTCCTTTGTTGCTCTCCAGGTGCAGCTCTTCCCGGCGGTGTTCCTCAGTGTTTTCTGCGACACAGCGGTTCGACTCACGGCTCAAACGGTGGATCAGATCTTCACCGTGAACTTCTCTGAGCAGGAGGAGAGGCTGAGCCGAGAGAAGCCCGTCGTCGCCTTCTGGAGAAACTTCCTGCAGGACTGTGAAGGTATATCTATATCTATGTAGGTGTTTCTATAGGTTTGTGTGGCAGGTCAATGGTCTGCAGAGGCTCAAATCTCTGTGTTCTAGAGGTTTGTGTGCATGTCAATGGGTCTGCAGAGGCTCAAATCCTGTGTTGCTATAGGTTGTGTGCATGTCAATGGTCTGCAGAGGCTCAAATCCCTGTGTTCTATAGGTTGTGTGGTGCATGTCAATGGTCTGCAGAGGCTCAAATCCCTGTGTTCTATAGGTTTGTGTGCATGTCAATGGTCTGCAGAGGCTCAAATCCCTGTGTTCTATAGGTTTGTGTGCATGTCAATGGTCTGCAGAGGCTCAAATCCCTGTGTTCTATAGGTTTGTGTGCATGTCAATGGTCTGCAGAGGCTCAAATCCCTGTGTTCTTTGCGTCAGGGAAATGTTACTTTGATTCTTTAATACATGTAGATTATAGGGATGGGAACGATTAATCGAATATTCGAAATTATTCAGGTATTCGAATATGAGTTATGAATATCTTTATTAATTTTTTTTTTTTTTTTTGGGAGGGATGCCTAAGTTGATTACATATGAACAAATGGAATAATTCAATGTATACGACAGTGCCATAGCTAAGTGTGTTAGGTCTAAAGGTGTGTTTTGCTCCGCTCACCGGTCCCTCACAGCGGGCAGAGCTGCAGGTGCTGATCTCTCTCTCTCTCTCGTCCGGTTATACTTCACTCGCGTTTATGTCCAAATCCATCAGATCTAGTTCTAGCTAATGCTATGGCTGCTGCCCCTCCCTACACGCAGATCACACAGACTCAAACCTCATCTTATGTCCAAACCCATCAGATCTAGTTCTAGCTAATGCTATGGCTGCTGCCCCTCCCTACACGCAGACCACACAGACTCAAACCTCATCTTATGCCCAAATGCGGCGCAAATGCGCTCCGCAGCCGTTGCGAGGTTCCGGCGCTAACAGTTCATGAGCGTGCTCCCCCGCCCCCTGTCAACACTCGCGACACATGAGTGGCCAGCCTAAACAACAATAAGCGCTGCTTGGCAACCGTGTGTGGCGGCAAAGTACAAAGACATTTTGACAGGAGAGATTTAGTTTTGGCGGTATTCAACATATTTGACCAGTCATAGTCCGGTGATTATTTACACTCTAAGAAGAGTCCTAACAGACATGGCGTCAAAAAGGAGTAATGTGTGGAAAGATTTCGACCAGGTTAGTGAGTGCGGTGTAGAGTGCAAACTATGCCAAATTAAACTTATTAAACTTATACAACTCATACATACTATACCTTGCTATACCCGCAACCTCCGTTCCAGCTGAGAGGGTCTTCTCTACAGCTGGCCTGATTGTGAATCGCCTCCGCACATGAAAGCTGTAGGCCTATAGCTGTCAAACTGTGATCACCAGTTCAATACATTTGACAAATTCGACTTGGTTTCTAAACTTATTTGAACAAGTATTTATTTATTTCCAAAAGTTATTGCAAAAAATGTTTTTGAAAAAAAAATGTTAGAAATTTTTTTTTGACCCAATTTTTTTTTATAGGATATTTTTACATTTCGTTAACCGTTTACACCGTTTAAAACGTTAAAACCGTTTAAAACCGTTTAACCCATTTAACCATTTAACCGTTTTTTGGTTAGGGTCGAATTCCCATCCCTAGTAGATTAATAACAAAAGAAGAA